GGGGTGGGGTCCTGGGGGGCAGTTACGGGCAGGGGTCCCGGGAGGGGGTGATCAGGGGACAGGGTGCAGGGGGGGTTGGATGGGTTGGGGTTTCTGTGCGGGGCAGTCGGAGGGGGTGGATGGTGGCAGGGTGGGGCTACCCTCCCTCCCTGTGGAGTGTCCTGTTTTTTTAGTGTTAAAATATGGTATCCCTACCCTTCAGAGCACAGCTCTCCATTCATAGCAAGCTGCAGCATGAGGTCTCAGCTACCTCACTCCCTCCCCTTCTTTCCTGTTGGTAGTGGCCAAGGAAATGCTGGGAAATGTAGTTCTTTCCCTGCTCCAGGGCTGGCTCTATAGGCAGGGAGCTAACCAAGGAACTACAGCTCTCAGGGCCCCCTGTTGGTTCTCAGCTCCCATGCTGGATCCCTGCCGCCCCTGCAAATGGGCTGCCCCAAGCACGTGCTTGCTTTGCTGGTGCCTAGAGACGCCCCTGCCCGCTGCTTCCCCAGGGCTCCTGCAGCTATTTACAGGGCCGGGGCGGTAGAAGCAGGGAAGCCCCGGGCCCTTTAAATACCCTCCGACTCCCTCAGCCACGCCCCTTCTGCCTTAGGCCCCACCCCTTCCGGGGGCCAGAGCTGGCCCCAGCGTACCGGTAAGTCACTGGACTTACTTTCACCCCTGGTCATGACTAGCAATATCTGAGTTTATTTCTAGATGTCTCAGAAACGTGAAGGACCCTGGAAAGGGGTGGGAAAAACAGTACAAAACTAACACCAGAAAGGAGGACATTTTAGAAGGCTTGCAACAGCTAGAGCATGCAGGATGCTGCAGCTTGATCTATGGCACACGTATACTGCTGAACAAGTCAATTTGCAAGGTCAGTCTCTAAAGCAGGAAATGTGAAAATAATACGTGCTAGGGAAGGAAAAGTTAAGGCTGTATATATAGTCTTAGAAAATGTGACCAAGCCAGCAAATGGTTCTACGTGACTATATAGATTCTTTATGAAATGCTTGTTTTCAGAGCACTAAACATGTTCCTCTTTCAAGACACCAAGCTTAAAGTACTCAGGATGACATTTATTTAACCAATGTTTTCTTGGCTGCATCAAAATCTCCTGAAGGGGTGGAAAATTCGAGAGGGCAGGTGAGAAGACAGGAGGAAGTAGGAAAATTTCCATTCTCATCCACTTGGAGTGTAGGCTCTTTCCATTCCCCAGTCCTCTGCTATTACTGCAGCCTCACTTCAGAGGAGGAGAACTGAACAGGTTCCCCATAATAGCTCAACATCACCTATCTTCAGCGAGACAGGTCTCTCCAGAGAGATGTGAAGTACTCTCCCCCACCAGAAGCTAAGAGATGCCTTTGGAGCAACCTGGTCCAGTGGGAAAGAGTGCAAACAAAGTGTTTTAAAGAACAGCTCCTCTCAGATTCCAAGTTATAATCAAGAACAAGAGAAGAAAGAAAAGGCTACTCAGAGATTCCACACCTAAATCTAACTAGACATTAGTAGCAGATGGTGTACAAGCCCAGCTTTGTTGATGTTTCCAGACCTACTGTACATGTAGTGTAGCATCTGTTGATTTTAATTACTCAAAACTGAAGAGGATGACTTCAAAAAAAACACAAGCAACTTTGATATGACCAGGAGGAGATTTGCTAAAACAAGATTCAAATGTTTAAAATACATTTCCCATCAAAGACAGTTGCGTAGACTAGGAAGATGTTACACTTATGTTTCATGAAGAGAAGTAGCTCACTGGGCTGAATAATTCTGTTCTGGTCATAATGCATGCTGGATTTTAGGAAAGAAAAAGTCAGCATTGTTTTTTAAATCCACTCAGATGAGCAAGAATGTAATAAGCTAGGAAGGAGATCTAAATGTTCCATTTATTGATGTTTATGATCCTGTTAAATCAAATCATTCACTTTGTAATACATTCTGCAACACTGATACTGCCCTGGTCAGTCTGGCCCTGAGATAACAGGTATTTATAGTATACTGTAGAAGACTACAGAAGGCTGAGCTGATGACTAAAATAAAGGATCATTTAATACTATGGTATATTTGGAAGCTCAAATGAACAAAATATGTTGCAGTCTGTCTGAAGCGCTTTAGCACTTGTGAAGGCTGTGCTCTCTCTTTCTGGCTGTAAACCACAGCAGAACTTATTTGAAGAATTGTGAGGAAATGTCAGATACTTACACCTTTGTCCAGAGAGAAGGGCAATGCACCAACAGGCAGGCTCAGAGGGGTTGGTGGCATCACAGTAATCTCACACACTGGATCTCTTGCAACCACCATCCTAACAGAATTCCCACAGTTTCTCAGCACTTGGGCAACTTCTTCACTGATCATTCCTTGTACATTGGTTCCTCCAATCTGTAAGATGTGATCTCCTGTTCTCAGTCTCCCATCCTTCAAACATGGAACATTTAAAAAAAAATCAGTAACTGGACCAAAATTTTACATTGCAGGACTGAAATTGAGTAGTATATTTTCATGGGGCAGCTAGTGCACGAAAATATCATAAGATTAATAAATGCTGCAAAATAAATAACGTAAGGCAATGCTAACACAATTAACCATTGCTTTTTCCACAGCAGTTGCCAGTTCTACAGCAAACTGTTTAAAAACAAAAACAAAAAAAACCACACCATATAGACTGTTAGTACAATTCATCAGAAAGGTTAAATTACATATTTATTGGGAAACAAATGCTGACACTGTTTTGTAATCCTGTAGTCAGAGATTTTAGGGATACAAAGCACAGCATTTTGATTTAGAGCTATTTGAAGAACCTGAACAGCTCAAATATTAAAAACTCAACCCTGCAGGTCTTACTCACTTGACTAGCCTTTACTCAAGTGAGTAACTCTGCTGAATGTAACGGGACTACACTCATAACTAGGAATACTCATGTTTAAACAAAACAAACAAATGATACACTAGTTGGATCAAGACCTACGCTGTTATTTTTACTGTAAGAAAGAACCGTACTAAACGTACATAGGGCCATAGCCTCAGCTGGTGTAAATCTTCATATTTCTGTTGATTTAAGTACACTGATTTACACCAGCTGAGGACTTGGCCCATAATAACGAACATGCACGTTAATACTGGTGTTACTTCCAGGTGTTACTTCATCGAGCTTTAGCATATACATGCTCCTTATTTCACATTTTTAACTGCATCGCACCTCTTGTTTAATTGAAACTGAGACAGTCATATCTTAATTTACAGCTGTCATTGGAAGCCAAAATATTTTGTTCCTCACAGCAAAAGAGGTGTTTCACAGTAAGTGAAGAAGCATTCATTACTTCAGACAGTTTTATAGAGGAGGCTCTCAAGCAACAGCCGACTTTTTCCATTCCAGCTCGTCGAATATCCAGTTTTCGTTTCTGTTTTGAATTGGAACGCATCCTATAACCTGCCTCTTGCCTTACATTAATATTTTAAAACACAACATGTCTTTTTTTTGCACATCTAAGGTTATGGGCAGCAGTTAGTAACTAGTCATTGGTGAGCTCTCATTGAATCCCAACCCTGTTAAATGCTTCAGTTGAGGGTAGTTGGTACTGGTCATAGAATCATAGACTTTGGTCCCTTCTGACCTTATTACGATCATCTAGTCTGACCTCCTGCACAACGCAGGACACAGAATCTCACCCACCCACTCCAGAATCAAACTCCTAACCGATGTCTGAACTATTGAAGTCCTCAAATCGTAGTATAAAGACTTCAAGGTGCAGAGAATCCATCAGCAAATGACCCGTGCCCCGCGCTGCAGAGGAAGGCGAAAAACCCCAAGGGCCTCTGCCAATCTGCCCTGGAGGAAAATTCCTTCCCGACCCCAGCCAGACACCCAGGAAAGAATTCTCTGTAGTAACTCAGATCCCACCCCATCTAACATCCCATCACAGGCCATTGGACATATTTACCGCTAACAGTCAAAGACCAATTAATTGCCAAAATTAGGCTATCCCATCATACCATCTCGTCCATAAACTTATCAAGCTTAGTCTTGAAGCCAGATCTGTCTTTTGCCCCCACTGATTGGGTCTTTGAAGACTAAGACCCCAAGGCTGCAATCTGATCCAGACAGGTGAATCCGTGCACCTGTGTAGGTATCACGGACTTTAGTGGGGCTCTGCATAGGCCCAAGCCTCTTCATATAAAAATAAATAATCTTTATAAATAACCCATGCACTGTATCTTTGAACACATACTCATGCAACTGGGTCAGCCTTGGGGAAATGATGCCCTGGGTGAACTTGTATTTTGGCACCCCTGGCCCCCGCTGCCTCCCCACCCCCTAGCCCCTGCTGTCTCCCCAAGCTCCCCCACCACCCCATATCAAGCCTGGGCCCCTCTGCCCCCACCATTCCCCAAGCTCCCTTCCGCAGCTTTTGACCCCAGGTCCACCCCACTCCTTGCCTCCTGACTATAGCACCCCCCTGACCACTGCACCCTGGAAAGTCGCCCACATTGCTCACTCATAAGGCCAGCCCTGCATGCAAGTAAGTGCCAATGACTTTAGTGGGACAACCTGCATGATTAAGGATTACACATATGAGAACGTGAGTTTGCAGAGTTGGCCCCTATAAAATTGTAACCAAATATACACATTCTATACAGAATCTGTATATCTGTTAAGAGCAGCTGTCCCAACACCGATGACGAATGGTTGAAATTTTATTGAATGCTAATTATAATGCTGGGCAAGCTTTTAATATTTCTATCTGATCTGGAATGCAATAAAAGCCATGCCATGCCTGAGAAGTAATTTAGCTCAGTTCCAGTGTTGACTTTTTGTCAGTCATCATACCTTTAACATGTATTTATTTCTATATACAATATATGTATTGGCATTCAGTCTTTGATGCTATCAGACTCCTTTTGTTTACATATATTAGTTTATTTTAGGACTGTCAAAAGAAGTTGTTGTACTTTAAAACCAAAGAAGAAGTGACATAAAACAACAAGTTACCCGATCTGCTAATCCGCCCGGAACAATAGTCCTTACAACCACACCATTCGATTTTCCTCCTACAATTCCAAAACCTAATCCTGAGCCATCGTTAATCAGTTCAACTTCTTCAACATGGCCCCATTGAATCTGCAATTAATAGAAGAGGGAGATTTTAATTTCAGTTAATAATCAATATTTCCAGCTTTCATTTCTGCCGGTAATTATTAATAATCTTATTCAGAGCAAATTTCCCCACATATAAACAGGCGCCATATTGAGTCTTGGTCAGTCAGTCAATGGGTTTTGCATACATTTTGCTTTTTCACTTTCGTAAGACACCATTCTGGACTACATAAAGGCAATTTTACGATTTCTTACAATAGTAACGACTACCATTTTAATTTCTGGTAAAGCAAGTGTACTGCAACCCATAGGGGGCGAAATAGCGAGAAGTCTGCATTGGCCTAGTTTTTGTTTAATATTGGACTAGTTTCCTACTTCTGTTATTTCACTTACATGCTGTATAGAGCTCTAGTACACTCTGTATGAATAGCACAATATAAATTTGTCCATACTGAATCGGAAGCATATCTCTAAGCTATTTTGCACTGCAACCTTGTGGTGTACAAGACAATTTGAGAACAACAACTCTGTTAAACAACTGAACCGCTAGCCATTTTTTCTGTCATATTAGCTCCTCACATAGAAACCAAAATGAGGCAAAGCAGGCAGGTTTAAGACTTCTGTGAATAAAGGATTTATTAGCATACTGAAAATCTTGGCCAAGATCAGTTAAAAATCATAAAGGAAGTTTAAAGACCCCCCACAGAGAAATATATTTCTATTTTATTTTGTTAGTCTGTTTGATGCAAATGCTTTAATGACAAAGCAGTTAAAATTTAATTCTTAAAAATTTTCAGAGCAATAAACAATATTGATTATCCACTAAAACCTTCAAATTTCACTAGCTCTACAATATTCATGAGGGAAATAATTATCCAGTATAACAAAAATCCCTCTTAAAAAGATCTCCAGCAAAGCTTCCAATATAACAAATTAAGATCCCAATATTGCAAACCCCATTCTCAGGCATGTGTGGCCCTACTACATCATCAGGGCCTGTGAAATTACATAACTGAGTATATGATAAGCCCTCACGCTCAAGAAAATTAGTGGGTTCACAATCAGTGGAGACTAGCAACATATAAAAGTTGATATGAAAAACTGGCAAACTAACCATACAATCAAGACGTTCCCTTCACAGTGATGCATGTATGCATCACTTTATTTAAATAAGACATTGCTTTGGGGAGCTAAGGTTTTAGTAGATCGTATTCTGATCAGTGGAGACTGCTGAAAGTAAACACTGCCTACCCTCTTTTAAGTCATAACCAGAGTCCAATTGCCCACGGTAAAATGGTTTGCATTGGGTGAACTTGTAAATTGCCCTACCCTAAGTAGGCTCCGCTACTGAGAATAGGTCAACCGACTAAAGCGTCAGCTCCAGGTCCCCCACAAAAAAACCCAGTATCTACTTTATAACAAATTCAGGCAGCTTTGCAATGGAAACATTATATTTAGGGCATGATAACTTTAAAATGAAATACCTGCATTCTTAGACACAATTAAAAAGCACATACCGTTAGCTGCTGTAAAACAAAAATAGTTAAAACTATAAAAATCCTTTCATATGTTTAAAAAGCACTAACACCTTCCAAAAACTGATTGACAGTATCATTACTCACAGTTTCAGGCGGATGTGTGTCACTTAAGACAGCAGAGGCTCCGCTGTTTCTTTGGACTGACTCTCTAGCAACAACCAGATGTAAAGATCCTGTGGATTGTTGGAGCAGTGCAATAGCCTGCTGATGGGAAATGTTCTGATCCAACGGGGTGTGGTTAATGGCCAGAATGTGGTCATTTTCCTTTAATCTCTGATCCCTTGATAAAAGATTAAATATTTTTTTATTTTTACTTTTTAAAAGAGATGTAACTGCATAACAGGATTTTGTCATTTAAATTGGAACATTCAGAATAGACGGTAATGCAATATTAAGTGAATTATATTAAAATGGTTAATTTATTACACACAAGTTATGTGCATACCACATTCTATTTAATAACCCAGTCAAATTGATTTTTGCTGCAACACTACTATGGTACATCTAGATCTTTCAGTGTGTTTCCATTCAAAATTCAATGAAATTCTAGCTCATTCTTGATTATGCTTCATACCAGAGATATTCAATTCTTGTAGTTACACAAGGGGGCGTAGGGTAGAGAAAGAGTATTTCCATTCCTTTTAGCACTATGCTACATTATCTCCAAGTACTTACAGCAGGACATGGCTCTCTCTCATTATTCAACCTAAAGATTGTTAAGATGTACATTTAGAGGGTACTGCGTTTCAACAAACTTTGCAATAGCCAACTTAACATACCAAAACTCAACTCCCTTAACTGGTGAAGATTCACTCATTTTTATGTATCTGCTTTCTTCTGGAAACAGAGGTACAATTTACTGCTAGCCTAAGATGGTATAACTCCTACGAAGTTAGTTCACATTATTGACGAATTTACATCTGTGATTAGAAAATCTTTAATCCTCTTCATAAAAACATGTATAAAATTATTCTTCCAGAGACCTAGACCAGATGCTTACTGGGACAGAAACAGCATCCAGAATTTTGTAGGAACTACCATTAACCTATGTCACCTTCAGAAGATCTCATCTCAAAAAGGAAAATGGGAAGCATTTAAGTGGAATTTAAAAATAAAACAAAACCAACAACATGGAGGTTTTTTGGGTAAATAAATTCCTTGAACTTTGCCCTAATGGGTGTCTGTTCAGAGATCAAGGGCATTTTATATCTCATGATCACGTCGTGTCAGCAACAGGCCAGCATGCCCTGAAGTGTAATATTCCCCTTTGACATCAAAATGAATTCACCTTTCTCCACTTTTAAACAGCTTAGTACGTTTTTCTTAAGTGTTCCTTAGTGTGCCCTCTGCATTCCAACCTCTCCCCACGATAGGGAGGTGGGGGTGGAAGAGTAATCTTGTGTTGGGACACTCCAGGAGGAGTTCTTTTAGAAAGGACACCATCATTTTGAAGCCTAGTCACATTTTCTTTAAATGCATTAAAAGTAGTTCTAGGCACTACACTTGCCATTGGGGCGCACGTGCTTTTTTTTGGGGGGGGGGGGAAGGGGGCTCAAGTTTTTAATTTTGCCATTTGTTTTTTAAAAGGATGTCCTGTGTCTCTATGTGACGGACCCACACAAACCACAGAGGGACCTGCCTAAAGCCCTGATCCTCCAAGGAGATCTGTGCAGGAATCCTCCAGCAGGATCGGGACCGAACTTTACATGGGAAACAGTAAAACTGACTATACACAGAGTATGCACAAAGTAAAGTGAATAGAGTTCCTTCTTCTCTAATCTCTTTCAGGGACACTAATAGCACGTTAAAAATCATATGCCTGTTTGCATTTTTGAAGTTCCTTGTGTCCCTTGAATTTTCATGGGGTGGGTTAATTAATCATAGCGGCCATGCCAAGATTTTCCAAAGTGACTAGTGATTTTTGGCACCTCCATTTTTGGGTGGCCAACCTCAGCCACGTCAAAGGGCCTAACTTTCAGAAAGTGCTGAGCACATGTCCTCTGATAAAAACAAACAAAAAAAAAACACGCCCCTTTAAGATGGTCCCAGAAAGGTGGGCAGCCACAAATTAAGACACCCAAACTACTAGAGAGACAAGGTGGGTGAGGTAATATCTTTTATTGGACCAACTTCTGTTGGTGAGAGAGACAAGCTTTCAAACTTAAACAGAATTCTTCTTTGGGTCTGAGAAACGTACTTAGGTCTGGTCTACGCTACAGACCTGCATCAGTATAACTAGGTCTCTCAGGAGTGTGAAAAATCCACACCTACTGGCGACATAGTTACACCAATCTAACCCCCCTTGTAGACAGCACCTCTCAGGGAGGTGGATTAACTATGCCGATGGGACTCCCATTGGTGTAAAGCTTCTTCTTTAAAGTGCTACAGTAGTGCAGCTGTGTTAATGCAGCATTTTAAGTATAGATGTGCCCGTGGAGCATCACAGCTAAATGCAAGGTGGATCAGATTATTTAGCATAAGTAGTTAACATATATTTCAAGGGACCATTCAAGGTGAAGTGGCGCATTAACACCCCTCCAGTCATAGGGGAAGAAAGGAAAACAAATTGGGGGTGGGAGGGTTTAGGTGGGTTACTGATTATTGTAATAAACCATAAATCCAGTGTCTGTATTCAGTCCATGATTTTTAGTATCTAGCAAAATTATGAATTTAAGCTCCCAGGCTCATCCTTTGAAGGTGTTGTGCAGGTTTCCTTTGAGGACGAGGACTAAGGCTTTGTCTACACTACTGTGGTAAGTCAACCTAAGTTACGCAACTCGTGGCTTAGGTTGACTTACTGCAGTGTCTACACCGTGCTGGGTCAACGGGAAACACACTTACCATACTCCTCTCATTCCTGGTGGAGTATCGGGGGGGGGAGGCGGCGAACGGAGAATGCTCTGCCATCGTTTTAGTGGGTCTTCACTAGATCTGCTAAATCGACCACCGATGCACCGATTACTGGAGCATCAATGCTGCAGTAGCGTAGACATCGCTTGAAAGGTCAGTGATAGCTACGTGAAGAGGGTTCACCCACAGGTGATATGGTGTTTTTTGTCTTTTTTTGAGAGTTCGTTTGAGAGAGTAGCGATTGTCTGGTTTCACCCACATAGTTATTATAGGGATATTTCGTGCACTGTGATAGGGATGTGTAGGACCCATAGATCTTGAAAGGTGTGTTGTGGGGAGTGTTGATCATTGTAGCAGTGAAGATATGACTACAGGTTTTGCATCTGTGGTTCAGGCAAGGTCTGGTGCCACTTTGAGTTCATATGTCCTAGTCTGTGGGGAGCTTCCTTCTGATGATGAGCTTGAGGAGGATGGGGGGTTGTTTGAATGTCAGAAGAGCGGGGTTAGAAAAAATTTCTTTCCAGATGTGGTCCCCATTCAGTAGGGGTTATTGTTTGAGGATACCCCAATATGAGTTACAGTTTGGGGTGGTAGGTGACAGCTAGAGGTGTGTGGTCAGAAGGAGCTTTATTTCTGTATTGAAGCATGTTCTCTTTGGTATTTGGGTGGCTTGTTCCATGATGCAATCTACTTCTATGATGGAATGTCCTTGTTTGGTGAAGTCAGTATTTAAGCGTGTTAAGAAATATGTCCTGGACTTTCTCCTTGGGGCATATACTGTGGTGCCTGTCTGTAGATAACAGATTTCTTGGTGCATTTTGGGGTGGTTACTGAATCTGTGAAGGTAGGTGTGGAGATCAATGGGTTTCTCGTATACAGTTGTCTGCAGTATTCCATTGTTGAAGCTGATTGTGGTGTCCAGGAAGTTGATTCTCTAGAACATTCCCACTCTAGCAAGTAGAATGGATGTGTGGTGATTGTCGAAGTTGTGGTGGAAATCTGAGGGAGTTTAGATATTTTCATCCTCTGGACAGACTATCAGGCATATCATTGGTTTCATAGTACATCTCTCCAGAAATTCTTCTTCAAGGTGGCCAATGAAGAGATTAGTATATTGGAGCCATCCTAGTACCCATGACTGTACCCATGGTTCGACAATATGTTTGTTGTTGAATATTAAATTATGTGTGAGGATGAATTTGGTGATGTGTTTGTGGTGGATATCTGAGGGTTGTCGATTATCTTGTAAATATTTGATGCAGGCAGCAATGCTGTCACTGTAAGGGATGTTGTTAATGTAGAGGAGTTTCTGGAGGAAGTTGGTTGTATCTTGGAAGAAACTGGCCCTTTGTGTGGTGAGTGATTTGAGGATGGTTTCTATGAATCTCAATATTCCTTCAGTAAGATGCTGTGGCCAGATAGGATGGGTCTGCCTGGGTTCTCTGGTGTTTGTATCTTGGGAAGCATGTAGAAGGTCCCTGGGGGATGAGGTTGTAGAGTATCTCTTGAGGTTGTTTGGGGAAGGATTTCATGATATCCGTAAATTCCTGGGTAAATTGTGGTGTGGGATCTTCTTTGAGCTCTTTATAGTAGGTAGTGACACAGAGTTGTCTCTTGCTCTCCTTAAAAGAGTCATCTTGGTTGAGGACTAGGATGGCGCCCCCTTTGTCTACTGGTTTGATCAGTATTTGGTAGTTGAATATCGGGACTGTATAGCTGTCCTCTAGGTCAGCGGTTCTCAACCAGGGGTCTGCAGCCCCCTGTGGGTCCGCAAGCCCTTTCAGGGGGGCCGCGGAGCCCTGCCACTGAAACCTGGTGCCCCGAACCCCAGCACCTCCCGTGGGGCTGAAGCAGAGAGCAGCACAGGGCTGAAGCTGCAAGCCCCGGTGCTGAAGCTGCGAGCCCAGGCGCCTCATTCAGGCTGAAGTGGGGAACGGCACCGGGGCTCAGCACACACCCCCGCACATGGAGCTGACGCAGGGAGCGGTATGGGGCTGAAGCCGTGAGCAGTGCAGGGCTGAAACCCCAAGCTCCCCATGTCCCCCTGACGCCAGGAGAAACCTTAAGCCCCTGGGCAGAGTTGAAGGGGCACAACGGTGTTGCTCCCCAAACTGTAGTGCCTTATCCAGAGTGGGGTAGTTCTGGGGGCAGCTCCACACACACACCCCGACTTCCTCTTCTCCCGCAGCCCCTACCCTCTGGCCAGATCCTAGGCAGGAAGACCGAGACAGGCAGTAAGGGGCAGCTGCTCCTCTGGCTGGTGGTGCCATGGAGTGGGCAGCTGTGGCATTCCCCCATCTGCTGCTGCTGGTGCCTGGGGTTGCATCTGCTCCTCCGCTCCCAGCCTCCTTTGACTGCTCACCCAGCCAGTCAGAGCTGCTCAGGCATCTCCAGGCCCAGAAGAGCCCTCGGGGAGTAGCCACCGGCACATAGCCGCAGAAAGGTGGGTGGCCAGGGCTGGAGGTAGCACTCCCTCCCTGGACCCTGCTATGCAGAGCTGGGCCGAGCCCTGCCAGCCCTTGTTCCCCTCCCCACACCCTCCCACAGAAGTCAAACTATGCCTATACCCCAGGGTCCGTCCACCGGGCCCCAGAGTTTTTCTAGCATGTTGAGTGGGGCCTCAGAAAGAACCCCTGCTCTAGGTGATGGAGAGATTGTGGGGGATAAGATGTTTGGTAAGGATTTCATAGTCAATTTTCCCCCCACAGAAATCAATGTAATGATCAAGAGTGTGGTTTCGTCCGCTGTAGCTGTGACACTCTGAGTTCATTTCCGAGACCGGAGAAGAGCTCTGTATAAGCTCAAAAGCTTGCCTCTCTCACCAAAAGAAGTTGGTCCAATAAAAAATATTACCTCGCCCACCTTGTGTGTCTAATATCCTGGAACAACACATCTACAACACTGCATACCCAAAATTATTTTTCACTCTATGCATCTGATGAAGTGGGTTTTAGCCCACGAAAGCTTATGCCCAAATAAATTTGTTAGTCTCTAAGTTGCCACAAGGACTCCTCATTGTTTTTTTCCAAAATTATTAGTCAGTTGTTAAAATCTTAGCCAGTGTTTTTCTTGCAATTATTTTTTTAAACACGCAAAAAATCACAATTTTGCCACACTTCTGAAAGAGGATTTTAAAAAATAACGGTTAATAAAACACAACTATGCATATTCTTACCTGGCAGCTATGCTTCCTGGCTGGATTTCCTTGACAAAGATACCAGCTTCTCCCACCGTTTGATTTTTAAGGGCAATCACACTAAAACCAAGACCTCCAACAGATGGTTTTTCTATATCTATGTATTCTATTTGCCTGCCCTAATAAAAAAAAAGGGTTAATTTTCAACACAGTAGAATGATCTTGTTTAAAATTTATGAGTACAAGGAGAACTAGTCTTTCCCCTTCTAAAAAAAAAATGCAGAATTTTGAACATATGTTATTTCTATAAAACTCTCCTATTTATTATTTTTCATATAACAGAATGCAGTATATACAGGCAGCCCAAGGTTATGAACCCTCAGGAAATTTAAGAGCTGCTTTCACACTTCATTCAGATTATGAGATGAATTCCAAACTGGACAAAAAGTATGAACAAAATGCTGATTAATGAAATTTATTTAGCATTTCTGGAAATATTGCATAACTAAACCAAATAACTTGTGTTTTGGCTGCTTTTTGCTTGAGAAAGGGTGAGTTTTTAGCTCTGTATTCAAAGGCTATGGTTTTTAAACACATATTTTTTCCCTCCCCCTGTAATTTCACACTTAAGAGTAACCAGTTGTTTTTTTCCCAACTGTTCTGTTTTTCAGTTCCAGTACAGAGTTTCTGCGTTTGTTTACTGGCATAAAATACCCATGAAAAAATACTTTAATCACATCTATTTTATTTAAAATAATGTTCAGTCTTTAACTCAACCAGTAAAAGATTCAGCTATAATGGCACACTAATGAGAAAAGTTGTGCTTAAAACACTACAGTTACATTAAGGTAGTCAATTAGAAACAGTTATTTAATATAGAAAGGAATGACTAACCAATTAACCCAACTGATGAAAACAATGCCCAGGTCTAAATGCATAGGGTAAGCCCAGTCCTACATGGCTGGATCCCTGTGCCTGTTCAACAATGGCTCTGCATATATAGTGATATCACGAATATGCTACACCACCTATGTTCATGAAGTTAGTACCAGTCTGACTAGGTTTTAAAATCAAGTTGTATTAAAATTAAATTAAGGGGTATATAAAATGTTTTAAATCACTTTCACTGTTAATATCTCTGTGTAGTGTGACAGCTGCCCCACTCCTGGAGAACAGGGGTTAAAACAGCCAAGCTAGGCTGATTGGGGAAGCAGCCACAGCTGGGGCCAGCCCAATCAGGGCCCAGCTGACCAGGGCCGGCTCCAGGCACCAGCTTAGCAAGCAGGTGCTTGGGGCGGCCATTCTGGAGGGGAGCGGCACGTCCAGCTATTCGGCGGCAATTCAGCAGAGGGTCCCTCACTCCGGCTCGGAGTGAAGGACCTCCCGCCAAAGTGTCGCAGATCGCGATCGCGGCTTTTGTTTGTTTGGGCTGCTTGGGGTGGCAAAAACCCTGGAGCCAGCCCTGCAGCTGACCCTGATAAAAGGGCTGTGGGCCAGGAGCTGTAGGACTCTCTTGCCAGCCTTGGGAACTCAGGGTATAGGGAACGAAGCAGGGCTGGGGGAAGACAAGAGGAGCTGGGGAGCTCCAGCCTGGTAAATCCCCAGGCTGCGGGCCTTGCTAAAAGGCCAAAACAGGTACTGGGGTTGCAAAGGCTACAGCCCGGGGTTAGGCAGAGGCAGCTGGCCTGACCCCCTTGCCAATGATGAGTGGCCATTCCAGACTGCAGTTTGCCCCAAGGAAAGGGGGCTGGATGATGACTGACAGTAGCCACTGAGGCAAGGTGGGTTTAGAGGATTGGGGGTTTCCTTGGGAGGGGAGACCAGAGGGCAGAACCTCAAGGTAAGGGGCACCGGGGTCTGGGAGGGACATAAGGGCCTGAGGCAAATGAGACAATTGGCCAGCAGCGGGCGCTCTGAGTGCTGGATGAGCTAATTCCTGAGATGACCAGCAGGAGGCGCCGTGCTGGTGAGTCATCGCTTCACTACACGTTCCTATTCAGCAGGTTAAAATTCAAAACTGAAATTTTTTCAGGAAATGTCTATTTCCCATGAAATTTCATCAATAGGCAAAATAATTATGGTTTTCGCCAACTGAATTTTTTCTGTTTTGGGGTATTGATTATCAGATTAAAAAAAGTCAACAAAAGCGAAATATATTCCATTCTTGTCAAAGTTTTTCCACCGCGGGGGAATCCCAACCAACTCTACTCTCCTACTGAGTTATAAGACATCACGCCCCCAGATACAGTACAGAAAGTTATGTTTGGCAATCTATTGCAACACAATGTATGCAAAAGAATTAACATTTGTTGAAAATAAGTTTAAACACACTGGCCATGACAGGACTTTACCTTTGCCATCTGTTGGATCATCATATTGAATTCATCAGCTCCTAGTTTTGGATTGAGTGGATCTACTCTGGGTCCAGATGAATTATAAACCATATACATGTTCCCATTAGTAATGGATCTGTCAGCATCAAATACTAGTAACCCTCTCTTAGTAAAATCAAAGTCCACTGAACGGTCTGAAGGCATGTAATTGAGCTGTTATAAAAACAGATTTGCAGGTATAATATTTTGTACAAAACCAGCCATATAAACAATTTATCAGCATTTTAAATCAGAATATTAATACCTAGTACATACATCAGGATTACCTAAACTATTTCACCAAGTGTGTGAAAGGACTAACAGGAACAGGCACTTACTAAGGGACGACATCTAATTTGCGCACAAAATAAAAACAGGAGGAAAAGAAAGAGGCAGAAAGAATGCAGAATTAGCTGGAGCCAGAAAAAGAAATGCAGCATGACACCAGCAATAGCCAAAACAGTGTTCCTTTGGTATTAAAAAAGAATTAAAATACAATCCCTCCATGTTTCAGCTATTTTTTAAATGAAAAAATATTTTTTCTTCCCTTTCATTCTCCCTATATTTATTACATCCCTCTTTCTGGTCTTTTCCTACTCTCCTGTTTTTCCCTCTCCTCTCCAGGAGCTAAACACATGTGGAAGGAGTGAGTGTCGAAATAGCCTTCAGACTATGGGTTAAATTTTCAAATGCACCTGGGTCACTTAGGCTCCTAAGTCCCATGTTCAAAAGAAACTTAGGTACCTAAGGCCAGGTCTACACTTGGAAAGCTTTGTTAGTATGGCTATAGCCTAGTGTGGACACAGCTTATACTGGCAAAACTGAGCCAAATAAACTATACTGGCTTATCTGCCAGTATAACTATCCTGGCAAAAGCACAATTTTGCTAGTATAATTGCATCTACACAAGGGGCCTTTGCTGGCACAGCTATGGCGGTCACAAATCATATCTCATCATACTCCTGATCAATATAGCTATGCTGGTAACAGTTTGTAATGTAGACCTGACTTTAAGTCTCACTGCAAGTCAACAGGATTTATGCTAAGACACCTAGGCTGGGTCTACACTACCCGCCTGAATCGGCAGGTAGAAATCGACCTCTCGGGGATCGATTTATCGTGTCCCGTTGGGACGCGACAATCAATTCCCGAATCGACGCTCTTACTCCACCAGCGGAGGTGGGAGTAAGCGCCGTCGACGGGAAGCCGCAGAGGTCGATTTTGCCGCCGTCCCTACAGCGGGGTAAGTCGGCTGCGATACGTCGAATTCAGCTATGCTATTCGCGTAGCTGAATTTGCGTATCTTAAATCGACCCCCCCCCCGTAGTGTAGATGTAGACCTAGGCACTTCTGAAAATTTTATCCCAGGTCTCATGAGCCTTCCTCGATTCAGTTATTTCAGCCAAAGCGTGTTACCACTCAAGAGTGCAGGAAAGCAGAACCAACAGCAGAAGAGCCACTTGTGCTTTCTCCAGTTCACAGGCCACACCTGTGTTCCCCCTGGCTGGGTCTGGTCCACAAGCAACAGATTGCACATGCTATAATTGCTAGGTGCTGGAATTCAATGTATAGCAACACCAGTCAACTAACAAATGCAGAAGCTTTCCCCTGGGAATTACAAATGTTGACATGCCAAGCAGGAGAAAGAGTTCTCTCGCTCAGGAGTATGTTTAAAAGGAACCTGAACAAAATCAACTTTTTGAATAACGATTCTGAATATTCCAGGTATTCATGTTATGCACTTGCCACAAACTCTGCTCCTAGATGTATTTCCATGTACATGCAAATAGGTCTTCTACAGCCATGTGGATAATGACAGGATACCTGCAGAGATCACTGGCACCCAGGGCATGCAGAATTAATTCCTGATTTTAAGTTCACGTGCCTGGCTCAACTAGCCCTATGACCTGAACAGGGTGTACAGGTGAGCATGCCACAGGCACTCAGATCCTACAGTTATGGGAGCCATAGCCCAGTTAAATACCAATGTGGCAGAAAACAGAACATTCAATCACCCAAGTCACAGTTTATAAAGCCAAATGGCAGCCTCCCCAGTGATACAACACCTACATACCATATTTTAAATGTCTAAAAAAATATTGCCAAAAAATGTAACTTTCAACTTACTTGCTCCTTCAGTTGCTTGATGGACTGCTGAAGGGTCAGTATCTGATTAAACAAAGGGCTTCTGAGTGTGTTACATAAAATAGTCAGGTTTTCATTCTGTGAAGTCTCCCCTCTCTCTCGCAGTTTCATTTGCAGACGATCAAGAATTTGTAGCACCTGCTGCTTATCTGATACACCCCAAAATAATACAGATTAGAAATCTGGCTCATAATTCTCTCACTACTCAACAAAGATAATTATTCTTAAAATATCTACCTGCTGCAGGATTTTCAGGCATGGTGAATTTGATCTCTTTCCTGGAATCAGTCAGAATAACCTAGATGAAAGTTTAAAAAAAAAAAAAAACAACTAAGAAACCAAGTGTAAACTAAGTTATACCTTCCAGCAGATTGCTTAAGAGACAGAGTCAACTCACAGTAAAAAAAAATTTTTTTTAAATCATTGCTATAAGTAACATGTAAGATTACTATAATCACTATTAGAGGAAAAACTTCTATTTTTTCATTGTGTTTACTTCACTTACAGTACTGTTTACTTTGTTACAATCAAATGCAGTCAGTTTCACGGCTACTTACAAATAGTCACCAAGTTTCTCATTTGTTTGGGCCTTTCACACAGCAACAAGGGAAAAAATGAATTTTTAAACATAGAAAAATGCAACTGTAAAAGACACAGAAATGGCAGGAGAGATTGAAAGACAGGTATGTTACAGCAAACTATTTTAAACTTGTTTTTAATTGACTACATCTTAAGCTGATGTCCTTTCAAAATACACAATTATTTAAAAAACTACTTTTTCCATTGTTGTTTTAATTACTGAGATACTGGCAGACTCCTCATAGTTATGGGTCAATCCTACAATCTGATTACGTGGGTGGAACCTTACACCTGTGCGAAGCCCCTCCAAAATCAGTGGTGCTCCACCCATACAAAATATATTGCAGAATCAGGGCCTAAAATTGGTCTAGTTGATAAGGCATTGGGCTTGATAAGGAAATCTGAGTTCTATTCCCAGCTCTGCACCACGAACCTGCTGCATGAACTTGAGCAAGTCACATCTCCTCTGTCTTAGTTATTTAAATAAGCCCTTCAGGGAGGGACCATCTCTTACTATGTGTATGTTCTGTGCCTAACACAATGGGACCCTAATTTTGGTTGAGGCCTCTAGGTAGTACTGTTATAATAAATAAATATTAGCGTTTGCAATATGTTTTGTGAGACGATCAAGTCCTTATGTGCATATCATCACCTTGCATTTATATAGGGCCTGGCATGCTGAGGGCCACCAAAGCAGTTTACCAACTTAATCAGATACATAGTATACACCTGACTTTCCAAAACCCTATTATCCAAACCTCTGCAGTATCTGAATCCCCATGGGGTACAAGGAAGGGATATGGCTAATGCAGAGGTTCGGATAATAGAGCAGAAACTCCTGGATGCGGGGGAGGCCACCCTGCTACTGAATGGTTCCTGTGAGAGCACAGAGAGCCCTGTGCAGCCCTGCTATCATAAGAGCGTGTGAGCAAGGCTGTGACATACGGTTGCCAACTTTCTAATGGCATAAAATCAAACACCCTTGCGCCGCCCCTTCCCCAAGGCCCCGCTCCTGCCCCACCCCTTCTGAGGCCCCACCCACCTCTCACTCCAGCCCCCTCCCTCTGTCGCTCACTCTTCCCCCACCCTCACTCACTGGGCTAGGG